GTTGTACGCCTGAGTATTATATTAAATTCACAGCCAGACAACAAGTTGGTCGAACGATAAAAATGTTCATTTCCTGAAACTGCTGCAGGAAATAATATAAAATGAAACGGGAGATATAAACTGGAAAATCTATTCAACTGCGTCCATCAATGTAATTGCAATATTTAAAGTAATTAAGATTAATTTTTTAGGCTGCATAATCTGATGCAAAAGCATTTGAGATTGATGCAGCCAATATTTCCGAAGGACCAAGCGCTACACGTGAGACATGATTTCAAAGGTAAGCGTAATAAGAACATCATTACAGGCAAGAAAATGAAAGAAAGACAGCTGATAAAACAGAATATTCTTAGTCAGTAGAAATAATTGACACCATGGAGAACTAAAGTAGCCAAACAAGCGTCAGTCGAATATCTATTTGGACATGAGACTTTGCTGTAACTCGAATAAGGGTGACGTGGCAGTCAACGTCTTTTTACAAGCATTTCTCAAATTCGTTAGGTCCAAGTTACTGAGGTACTTTAATATTCCTTGAATACAAATTAAATCATAATCTCTGTTGAAGTACCAGCGGAAAAATGTAACGCTCTCGTCTAACAATTCCTTTCGTACCTTACCTCTGTTGAAACGACGTTTTATTATATCTTCGTACGTAGGAAACATTGTCTGGTAATCGCTCGCTTCCATAACTTGAACAACATCTTCATTTCTCGCGTATAATGCTATTTGGTCTATGCGTTTTGTTAGGATATCATGGAACGTTATTACAGTATTCTTAATTTTTGTGCTTTTCATTCTCCTTATCTCTTCAATACATTTCTTCTGAAATTTTACATATTGCTTGCTTAAATCCGTAGTGATATTAAGATTCTCCACATTTCCGTTATTCATGTTCAAACTAGCAACCTCCATTTTAAGTAGTAGCTCTTGGATCATGGACAATCGATCCATAGATCCATACTTAGAACAGTATAAGCGCAACGCTGTTTTATGGTCATCGTTAACAATGTTTACGTCACAATCATTTTCTATGAGAGTCCGAACAGCTTTGTCGTAACAGGCAATGGATGCAAGATGAAGTGCAGTATCACCATCCTTATTTATGGTATTGATGTCGACGTCCCAATTCAAGAGAATTTCCATGATACGTACTTGACCACTTTCAGCGGCAACATGTAAAGCTGTGTATCCTCTTTCATCTTTGGCATCCACGTCAGCTCCTCTCTCGATTATCAACCTGCAAATTTCTTCTACACCTTTTTGCGCTGCAAAATGAAGCAGAGTCTCGCCACTCTGAATTTTCAATTTGATATCGGCACCATGTTCTACGATATGTAAGCAGATATAATATGGAGAAACTGCACTGCTCCTAGCCATTACGGAGGGACACGAAGATATCGTACAAGTCCTCATCTCCTGTTGAGGACTTGTACGATATCTTCGTG